AACAAGTCCCATGTCTGGTCCATTATTAAGCACTGTGTTTTCACTATTCACATTGATTATTATCGTGAATGGAAGTCGTGTTGGATGCGCGATCAGTTGTAACCTCAGTCTAGCGTAACCTCTGACCAGTTTTAATAATTGAATCGTTAACGGATTTAGAAATTTTATCTCTTTTGTAATTGTAAAATGAATGTACATATCAGGTTTCTCGCAGTGTTCTCCACTGAACCCCAATGCACACTCGCATTTATACTTGTTGACAGACATAAGTGGGTGACAACTGCCATTGTTTGTGCAAAGATTTTTATTACATACGTTATTTTGTATGAAACAATTTGGCAACGAATAGCCTTGCTTACATAAACAAATAGCGTTTCCACGACACACAGAATCTGGCGCACAACGAATATTATCACTACACTCATCGTCGACCAATTCACAGTGTCGTCCTCTCCATCCTCGTTGACAATAACAAAAATATGATGATTGATTATTATTCAGTAAATAACACGTTCCATTACTAAAACATAAATTGGCCGTGCAGAGTAATGGCATTCGAACATCATTGGGAAAATTGAATATTTTTGCTAGACGATACGATGGGAGAAAATTGAATGGCATTATAGAATATTGCCATACGGCAAGAAGTTCAACAGTTGTTTTCTTCACATAAAATGCTTCATAACGAACAGAATAGAGACAGATTTCGAGTTTTGTCCGAGAATAAAGTAGGTAATTATGAAATTTTGTATTGTCGTCAATAACATGAACGAAACTCGAATGATCAATAATAGTTGTGTCATTACATATTAATTGAACGAGAAGAAATAAAGTAAAAGGCAAATCCGATCGATGTAAACGATTTATTCTCACTTTTGACGTTATTCGTCGACTCGAAAATTGACACTGATCGCCAAAGTAAGGTGGTGCACAGAAACATCTCGCTGTTCTCGATTGATTTGTTAGTAAATAGAATCCTCTGTTACAATAGCCGTGAAATTGTCTGTCTATTCTTTTCGAAATGACATCATCTTGTATGGTATTTAAATGTGGTTGGTGAGTGCTGCTGTCGCAGAATTCATTGTAGTTCGATGTTGATATTACCTTTCCTGCTCGATAGGCAGATGTCACGACGGACATGACTGTTTTTAGTTTCGGACACCAAAGCAATTGTTCAGATTGTGAACATGCTTTAGATGTTAAAGTCGTGCAACGTTCAGCACACCGCCCATCGAAACATGGAAAAGATGAACAATTATTCAATTTGTTCCAATAGCAAATTTTCTCATCATCTCCATCCGTACAGTCGGCGAGTCCGTCACAGAGTTGTTCATGATTAATACATGTTCCGTTTGAGCATCTAAAACGATCACCTAACATTCGACCATCGAAACAGGACACGGTATTACGCTCATCACGACCGCCAATACAATCAATGGTATGATCACCGGCTCGTGTGTACTGAACGCATGGTTTGTGATGTATTTGATCTGAGATGAACTCTTTCGTTATACAAAAATGTTCAGTTTTATCATCACATAGGTCTTCGAGAATGAATCGCGATTTATTGTTCATAATTGGACAATTTAACTCGTCGAATCCATTTGCACAGTCCCATTCATCATCACACACCCACTTTCGATTAATACATTGACCAGTGTTTTTACACTGAAAATCATCTGAACGACACACCCATTTAGAGCAATTTTGTTCGTCTAAACCATATTTCATATCCCACAACGAATTACAATACAGATGAAGAGATAGCTTGGCAGTCGATCCTTCTCCATTTTGTAACAATCGACATGCATAATTTGTTTCTGAGTCACATTGAACAAGTTGCCAGTCAATTATTGTTGACAACTCGTCGGAACCGTCCATGCAGTCGACTGACCCATCACCCAATTGTTGAATACTTACGTACTGAACAGGTACTTCAGATTCACAACGATAATGATACTTTTTACTAATAGAATATGTAATGTTGTTCAACTCATCATCCTTAAATAAACAATCATAGAATCCGTTATTGAGACGAGTTCGAGAAATTTTTTCATTCGAATGGCTGCACATGTAGCTATTGGTAAAATCTATAGCTTGAACGTTGTTTTTAGGACCGTAGTGGAGATAATCAAAGGGAGGATACGGATATGTTTTTAGAAGAGTTTCATTGATACATATTTGATTTTCTCTATCCATTAAGCAATATAAATGCGGCGTACGATTTTGAAGACTTATATTATAATGTGTGTTTGTAAAACTTTCGATTATCAATGTTTTATTATACACAGTCGTTATATACGGTGAAATTAATGGATGTTTTGGATAATATATCAACGAATCACAATAAAGCGTAAAATTATGTAAAGAAAGTTTGGTACTTCTGCCAGTCATTAGATTTGTAAGTGCGGTCAGACAAGGATCACTTCTGTCATACGCGTTCAAGCCAACTATGCACGTTCCGTATAATGTTGTTGAATATGTGCCACTGATTCCACATCGAAAATGCTGATTTCTCGAATTTGTACATGATTTTTTATTATCGATTAAATTATACCAATAAATACATTGGCCATCATTGCACAAAAATTCGTTTTTTGAACATAAACGCTCGTCGCAATCTATGCTTGCTGTAGTTGAACAAGTTGAAAATACCGATTGAACACTATTTTGTTCATCCGATGAGTCCATGCAGTCAACTTTCGAGTCGAATACAAATTCTTGTGGTATGCACATTCCATTACGGCAACGAAACTCATTCTGGTCACATTGATTAAATTCTAGTAATTGGCAGTTCTGCTCGTCTTCTCCTCCTTCACATTGTATTGTGCCATCGCAGAT